ACATTAGCATCAGATGTTGGCCGGCGAAAGCTATCGCTGGAATCAGGGGTGAAAGTACAGCTCAAGTGGTTCCTAGAGCCGCTTTGATCCAGCAATGTTAACGTTGTGTTCTGACGAAACGGCCATGGTAAGAGGGAGTCGAAGTCTCCACGCATTATTGTGACATAGAGCGACATGTGAGTGCCTCTCCCTGAGTTGTCCCCGCCAAGGTAAGCCCGCAGGCTAAGCTTGTATCCGCTACGACTGGTGTAGAAGGGGGTGGAGTTTAGGGCGATGCCAGCTTCTTTCAGGTGCCAGTAGTCACGCACTTTCCAGATGAGCTTCCCATCAAAGGAGGTGGACTCAAGCTGGCGGACACGCTGCTCGTTACACTGCAGCTGTTCCACGTGGATGTCTAACAAACGTGTATGACGTTGACACGTCTGCTCTAATGCACCTGAGGGACACAAACACAGCTACTGTTACAGCTCTATTAAGAGGATACATCTGGATATTATTGTATGGTGTGAGGCTGGTAAAGTAAGCCCTATTCGGACGGGAGTAGATGAACATGGAGATTTTAGTCCTGTTCGAATGTGCCATCTCAGTAATCATTACGGACAATGTCAGTAAAGATTACGACTGTTACCTTCTATAAAAAGGTCTGGAAAAATGACCTCATGTAATACTAATCCCTTAGGAATAGACCCGCTGTAGATATGTATGTATAAGTTTCATCATTTCATGTTTAAAAGTTGTTTTCTGCAGGGTTTTTTAGTATGGAGGCGCTTGAAGAAGCATTCAGTTGCGTTCTAGATGGTGGGACGAGTCCATAGCAAAAAAATTGTGTTTTCCACATTCATGATACCAGTAAGCAACGTAATACGCACATAACGATAGGATGGTGACGGCAAAAAGTTTTTGCTGGGTTCAAGCGCAAACTTGAGGCAACATGAGATTGCTTTATTTTGCGTTTCGCTGAAAAATAACAACTTAACTTTAACCAGGTCCAGTGCTCCTGCGCCCAGGGCTGCCAGACCCAAGAGGGTGCCGCACCACGACAAGCACGGGCATCTCAAACTTGTGAAGAACCATTTACGATCGACAATGGCTACGTTTTCATGCCACCAAATAATCAATAAAACCTTCATGTAAACACTAATTGATCCGATTGAGCTTGATCCAAATGAAATTTCGATCAGATTTAAAGGGGTGGTTTATTCCTAATGACGTATGACGAGCGGTATGAGCCGTTCTTCTTATTGAATAAAGTGACGAATAAATGAGTGTCCCGTCATTCTATAATTCTCCTTTCACTGCGTGTGTGAAGTGGAGCCGGACAACAGCCCACCAGTCCTGGTTTTGATGAACCAAGGAAGCGACTCGTTGCAGTGGCACAACAGTTCATATGCTCATTATCTCCAAATTATGACCAGATGCGTATAAAATAAATGAAGAACCAATGTAGGAGAATAGTAACTGTATATTTGTGCAGTGTGCGTATGTCAAAACATCTATTATATATGCACACATCAACCCGATCACTTTATTTAGGGTTCTTGTTCGGATTCATCAATCAGAATGAATTCAGTTCAATTGAAACAAAAGTTGTGTATGTAATCGTAGACAGTGTCACAAGATCATTTCGAAATTTCAATTGAGCACCAAATCTGTCGCAATTTGGATTACTCCAAGATAATTGAAGAGTTCACAGCAGCCAAAGCAAGAAATGTCGTCTTTTAAATGGTGGGTCAACTGTATTAATTCATTACATGTCTTAAGTCAACAGTAGGTGGTGTCAATATGTGATAAATTTGCCTTTTTTCTCTAAAAACTTTGAACATAAGGGGCGGCATATTCCTATTTTGCCCAGAGTGCAGGATTGTCTTCCCTTGGCCCTGACTGCGACAAAAGTAAACTTCAAAAGGGCAAAATAGTAGCCTTCAAATGCCTAAACCACTTAAAACTACATGAGCTGACCTTTGGCCTAAAGGTAAAGCTGGCAAGAGGACCATTTGTGCTACCAACCTGCAGAACTTACGGCTCATTTCCAACGAGCGGTATGGTACGGTAAACCCTGACCCGGCTTGCGTTTCCACCGCCAGCAGTACCATACTTGATCGGCGTGGTGTAGCCCATTGTATGCCGGAAAGAAGCGATCAACATCATTTCCGCGTGAAGAAGAAAGTGACATAGTAAACAACAATGGATGACATACAGCAGACCTTGTTCTTGCTCCTCGGGATGTGGCTGTTTGTCACAAGAAGCCAAGCACCAACATTAGGTTTCTCAATACTAAGTACGCAAAGTTCAGACTTGCCAAGTCGACTCAGGAGAATGACTCCCGAAGAGTCCGGTAGTACCAAAAAAGTGGTACGGTTCAGCATTTTATACCATTCAATTTATGACAGTGGAAACGGAAATAATTGCGTACCATACTGTACTGTACCGTACCGCTCGGTGGAAACAAGCCATTATTTCCAACCCTAATCAAACAAAAAAAGTGTTCAGTTTTACTTGAAAACAACCGTCAGGTGTGTTGGAACTAAAGTCTGCAGGAAGGTAGTCCTCTATGAGCTGGGTTTACTCTAATGTCCACTATATCTTCCCTTGCAATAAGACTGAAAACACAACACGTATCCATTTTCCAAACTGCTTGTCCTATGTCGAGTCATGGGGTTGTTGGAGCCTGTTCTAGGAACACAGAGGTTACTCACACCTATGGACAATTTAGAGTCAGGAACAGCCTTCTTAGTGTTGTTCGGGAGCCAGACACAATCTCTTAGTCAAATCCCATCTCTTTGACCCACATGAAGGTCATGCGTTTTGAACACAATGTGTGATACTGCACAAACGTACTGTAGAAGAGTGTGTTTCAAGTTTCGCCCATCTTGTTCAGTCAACATTGCATCAACATTCATGTGGCCAATCAGACTTGGCTTACCCAGATGCTCCCTGAGGCTTTCTGTGACGGCCACCTGCTGTCTGAGCGAGTCCAGTGATGCCCGAAGGCTGGGGAGCTCTTCTCTTAATTCAGACCCCAGAACGCCCCGTAAATCCCGCAGTTCACGCTGCACACTGCAGATCCGCACTCTCTGCTCCTCCACAGACCTCTGCCACACAAACACAGATCATACAGAAAACTCTGGCCATATACCAAAGCATCTTCCTCCACATTAAAGTTGGTGAACTTAATCACCACTATGAATGGTGATTACTTGATTTCCTAAATAACAATCATAATTTACACTTTTACACAAAATTAGTGTTGTTATATATTAGATAAAAGGTCAACTTGGGTGGCGGGGTTGGTGAGCTGCTCATTGAATTTTATGGATTCTAAAATTACAGGACAATCACTACTTTTGTACTTAGCAGCTCGACTGACATCAGGGTTTCTTTACCTGTAAGGTAGTGAGTGTGCTGTCACACTTGGTGACATCCCTGTCCAGACTGCTGACCACAAGACTTTTGTCCTTCAGCGCCCCCTGTTGGACTATCATATCCTGTTGCAACTGTTCCACCTACAACCAGGACCATTTTTTATATTATATTGAAGATTTGTAATAAAGCCATAAGCAACAAGGGACATTACATGAAGTAATTCTCTGCATTCTAAATGTGTTTCAAAATCTCTTAAGTAATGATATTATAAAGAACACACATTTTCATTGATTTGTTTCAATCATTATTATTATAATTGATGGGACATTATTATGTGGACCAGAATTTTTCTTTTTCATTTTGTATTTTGCATTGACATGCAGAAACATTTCCTACCTGTTTTTCAAGTTTGGTGTTACTTTCCAGAACAAGCCGAACATGATACGTGAACTCTGTGTTTTCATGAATTTGCACTTTCCCTCTTTTATCCTGGAGGAAAGACAGAGTTCAAAAGCTGAGATCTCCAAAGCCTATGTATTTAACGACCAGGGGAGCATTTCCCAAACGCATCGTAAGCCTAAGTAGATCGTAAACCACTGCCACCAATGGACTCTACATTCAACTTAGCTCACGATGCTTGTGAGAAATGCAGCCTAGTTCATTAAATAGGACAACACTGATAAAAAGACACTTTCGCTTGTTTCAGTGTTGAATTTGAACGTGTGCTTACTCTGACTGTGCAGCCATAGTTTTTATAAATGCAGTCCGTCTCCACTTCAGGACACTCATCAGCATGTGCCTGCAGCTGCAGTGGGATCAAAAAGCAGCAATGAGCTAATTAAAATATCTGAAGTCTAATCAGCTTTTTACAGAGCCCCTAAGAGGACATGGCGATGGAAAAATAAGAGTTGGGAGGAAATATAACATTCACAATTTCACATTTAAATATAATGAGATAATAGTATAAAATATCCATATTTAGTGTGCTATCCGAGGAAAGAGCTCTGAGTTTGGCCTAAACCCAGAAAACTCCGCTTTGGCAGGTATAGGAATAATTGAGACTGAGAAGTTGTGGTGGAGGAGGGATGCTGGAAAAACTGTTGGAATGCTGGAACCGAGGTAAGTCGGCTCTATACGCCTTATTTTGCAAAGCGAAAGTAAATACGATGACGTACTTCCTTTCAATGTGTTAAGACTTCCGTTTCGCTAGCCAGTAAGTTAGAAGCCATGTTAAGGGAGCAACACTGTTAAACACCTTGCCACTGTTGCCTTGCTTTTGGCTTGCTTAGTTGGGGACATTTAATATTCAACAATATTATTGATCTGTGTTGTATTATTTTCATGTTATCACTGTGAAGCTGCTTTGATACAATCTGTATTGTAAAAAGCGCTATATAAATAAATGTGACTTGACTTGACCGTGATGGTTAATATTTATCACACCCGTGGTGGGGGGATGAAATGAAGAAGTGCCCTGACATCTTATGAGAGTGTTTTCAAGTATTTTGTGTTGTGGCTCGGTGTAGACGGGTCTTCAATGTTCGTCTCAGCAGCTCGTTTAACAAATGGGTAAAAAGAGACAGTGATGAGCGCTGCGTTTTAACCAAAGTTGAACATTCGTCGACTCTCGGCGACCTGTAAAAAAACGCAGTTTGGTGAGTTTTGTTTGGTGAGGGAACGCAAAGGTTCTTGGGAGAATGCAAAGGTTTAGTGAACAAACACAAAGGTTTGGTGAGGGAACGCAAAGGTTCTTGGGAGAATGCAAAGGTTTAGTGAACAAACGCAAAGGTTTGGTGAGGGAACGCAAAGGTTCTTGGGAGAATGCAAAGGTTTAGTGAACAAACGCAAAGGTTTGGTGAGGGAATGCAAAGGTTTGGTGAACAAACGCAAAGGTTTGGTGAGGGAAAACAAAGGTTCTTGTGATAATGCAAAGGTTTAGTGACCGAACGCAAAGGTTCTCAGGGGAACACAATGGTTCTTGGTGAAATGCATAGATTTAGTGATGGAACACAATGGTTCTCAGGGGAATGCAATGGTTTGGTGATGGAACACAATGTTTCTCAGGGGAACGCAATGGTTTGGTGATGGAACGCAATGGTTCTCAGGGGAACGCAATGGTTTGGTGATGGAACACAATGATTCTTAGGGGAATGCAATGGTTTGGTGAGGGAACGCAATGGTTCTCGGGGGAACACAATGGTTTGGCGATGGAACGCAATGTTTCTCAGGGGAACACAATGGTTGGGCGACGGAACACAATGGTTCTCAGGGGAACGCAATGGTTTGGTAAAGGAACACAATGGTTCTCAGGGGAATGCAATGGTTTGGTGAGGGAATGCAATGGTTCTCAGGGGAATGCATAGGTTTAGTAACAGAACACAATGGTTCTCAGGGGAACGCAATGGTTCTCTGCCGAGGGAACGCAAAGGTTCTCAGGGGAATACAAAGGTTTAGTGAATGAACGCAAAGATTTGGTGAGGGAACACAAAGGTTCTCGGGGGAATGCAATGGTTTGGTGAGGGAACACAAAGGGTTTCAGGGGAACGCAATGGTTTAGTGAGGGAACGTAAAGTTTCTCAGGGGAATACAAAGGTTTAGTGAATGAACGCAAAGATTTGGTGAGGGAACACAAAGGTTCTCGGGGGAATGCAAAGGTTTATTGAGGGAACGCAATGGTTGTCAGGGGAACTCAATGGTTCTCTGACGAGGGAATGCAAAGGTTCTCAGGGGAATAAAAAGGTTTAGTGAATGAATGCAAAGATTTGGTGAGGGAACACAAAGGTTCTCGGGGGAACGTAAAGGTTCTCGAGGGAATACAAAGGTTTAGTGAATGAACGCAAAGATTTAGTGAGGGAACGCAAAGGTTCTCGGGGGAATGTAAAGGTTTGACTAGGGGACGCAAAGATTTAGTGAACGAACGCAAAGGTTTGGTGAGGGAATGCAAAGGTTTAGTGAACAAACGCAAAGGTTTGGTGAGGGAACACAAAGGTTCTTTGGAGAATGCAAAGCTTTAGTGAACAAACTCAAATGTTTAGTGAGGGAACGCAATGGTTCTCAGGGGAATGCAATGGTTTGGTGAGGGAACACAAAGGTTCTCTGGGGAACGCAATGGTTTGGCGGGGAACACAAAGGTTCTCGGGGAAGACAAGGCTTAGGTGAGCAAATGCAAAAGTTCTCGGGGGAACACAATGGTTTGTTGAGGAAACACAAAGGTTCTCGGGGAAATGCAATGGTTTGGCGAAGGAACAAAAAGGTTCTCGGGGGGAAAGCAAAGGTTTTACAAGAAAACAAAAAGGTTTTTGAAAAAGTATTGAAATATCTGCAAGGATAGGAACTGGTATTTCATAGAATAGAATATAAATTTAAGCTACACTCATGATAAGTGCAGATAAATACATATTTAAAGCCACTGAGCCCCTAAGGGAACATGTTGATGTAAAAAATATGAGGTCACTTCACTGTGTCGCCTTAGAGGCTCCATATTAATCTGAAGAGAGCAATAAAAAAGATTTACTCCAGGTGCTCTCCTGGAGTAAAGTATCTGAGTCACACCTTGTTTCTTTTGATCATCTGCAGACATTTGTTGGAACAGGCGACTTCAACTTCCGGGCATGAAGTCTTCTGATGGGCCTGGCATAGTTTCGAGGCAAGATTAGAAACAAACACACCTAAGGCGACTATGCACTTCTGAGACACGGAAACGTTCTGACCAGCAGTTGAGATACGGGAAAAGACTGCCCGCAGTGGTGGCAGGAATCCAGGCGGAAGGAACAGATCTTCTGATGGTCCATTAGGTTTTTGCGTAACACAGTGTCGGTGCACCCTGAGTTGGAACATCTAATGCGCTCATACTGGCAAGCTTTTAGATGATCCTGAGAAAGAGAGGTAGTACTGATATTACTGAGCTCTGAATGATGGAAACAGTTTTTTCATCATCAATTTAAAGTATATTACGTCACGTTTAGGCTTTTACCTGCAGGTTACATAAAGTAACCTTCTGTTTACAGTCTGGGGCATTGGTGCAGTAGACGTCTAAGTTTAGCAGTTCCCTTTTACAGCAGTTGTCTTGAAAAACCTGCAAGTATTGGAATTGCTATTTAGTAGAAAATAACGGGAAATTAAACTACGCTCATGATACGTGCAGATACATACTTTTTGAAATAAGTTATATCATCTCACCTCCTCAGGTTTTATAGGACTGCTGTCTAAAGGACATTTCGAACTTCCCCCATTTTCACTGCAAGGAAGAAAGTTTACACATTGCCAAATGCCGAATGTCAGTTCAAAGTCATGTTTATCTGTGCTGATATACAAAAAAATTGTTTAATTAATTGAACTATTTTATTTTTCTTACATGTATGCCTTTATGCACTGAGCACAGAAAATGTGCCCACAGCCCGTCTGGTGAGGGTTCAGGACGATCCCACCGCAGGACGGGCACACGAACTGTTGCTCTAACCTCAACACGAAGCGCAGAGTGTGATTGGTCAGAACGGATTCCAGCTCCCATGACCTCATGGACTCAGAGTTCGAGAACCCAGGAAGCTCGTTCTCCTCTGTGGCCATGGAAACCTGGTAACATTACCAAAAGGTAATGTTATGTCTGACACAATTTCTTTTGTTTTTTGCAACTCTAAAGTTGATATTTATATTCAAAGTGATATGTACGAGATGGCTAGCATAAAATGGAAGAACAGCTAGCCGTGGATTATTTGTGTATACATGCTTCAACGATAACAGCGCATTAATGTAGAACGGTGATTAAACTGACATGGAACTACATGTACATTAAAGTCCCTGTAAAGGCAATTCTACAAAAAAGTTCTAAACACATTATAAATGTTACATGTGTATTGCTAAAACATATTACAAAGTCTGTGAACTGTGAAGTACTGAAATGTGGAGTTAGACCGTTAAACAGTTTTTCACCATTGCAATTTTACGGATTAATTGGGCGGGGCTAAAACAAGGCTCGATGACGCACTGGAGCCCATGAGCTGCTGGACACCCCCCTATTTGATGAGGCACAGAGTCTGATCTCCCCCTCTCCACACACACTCCCCGAGCACATTCGCATTCACTGCTCAATCGCGAGTGCCTGTCAGTACTATTAGTTATTACAGCTGAGCCTACAGTTTTCTAGCTAGCTATGCCTTCGACACGGACATGCATGGGCTACTACCTGGATGCGATCATGTACAAAACAGATCGGTATCTTAATTTAAATTCCCCTAAAAACGACCACATCAAGAAGAGGTTTTTAGAGAGCTTATACCTTGATGAAGACCCTCTGTACCTCTGTAGTGATCGTTTTACACTGGATCGTTTTATAAACTTTCCTCAGAGACAACTTGGATTCACTGATAATCCGCTGTTACTGGTGAACGGGGCCGAAACGACGATCTCCCGCCTCAGTGTTCATCCTCCCGTCTCCAAAAGCTAATCAGCTCAGCTAATATCACCGGCGTCTACAGCTTTCCCGTGCGTGGGCGTGGTTTCAGGGCAGCCAGCCGACACGCCCCCAGCGTTTGAGAGCAGAGATCTGCTCATTTTTTCATGATTTTGATAGCTTATTTTATGTACTTCCCGGATTTTTTTATCATTCAAATTTGGCTGGGTGGCTAATAACACATTTTTCTGTGGTATGACTTAATTTTGACTTTACAGGGACTTTAACGGTTTTATTTCACACCTTGCAGCCAATCAGAATCAAGTATTGAAACACACATGGTATAAATATATTTTCACATTCACAATTTAAAATATTTCTGGCTACACGGATATTAATCTAAATGAATATTAGAAAGTGTCAAAATATTTAATATAATACTAAATTAATATTATATTACAATATACTGTTTTATTCAGAATGTACACAGTCTGTTAGACCTGTTAGTCTTTTATAACATAATTTCCTGCTATAGCTCTCACAGCAATGGATTTTTATTATTTGTAGTTTGTCACAGTCACAAACATTGCACTCTTTGAGTAAATTACAAAAATGGGAACATCAATCCCTCGCTGAGCAATCTTTATTGCGATCCTGTTCATTTTCTTGCCATTACATAAGCAATAAATGTATTTAAATTGTTCCATTGTTCCTTTTATTTGCCACACAATGAGATTTTAGATCAAATAAATCAGTGAGCAAATGTGCACTATGCAATGCAATCTAATTTGTTAACTTGGGACATAATTCAGCAAGTGGGTAATTTTAACCGTTCAATTTGACTTGCATTTTTCTTACTCCAGCACACCAAAACATGAGATAAACAGAGTGTGTAGTTCACACAGGAGGACGATAACATGGCAAGTGTATTGAGCTTCCATTTCAAAGCTGTACTACTTTTACATAATGCGGCTTTTAAAGCAACGAACAGTCTGTCCCTGAGAGAGAGAGAGAGAGAGAGAGAGAGAGAGAGAGAGAGAGAGAGAGAGAGAGAGAGAGAGAGAGAGAGAGAGAGAGAGATATGGGGAATCCCCAGTGCAAGAACATGACACTATGAATCTATGTAAAAGTAAAAAGCATTTCACATGCCTGTATAAAGCGAGTGATAGAGTCCGGCTTCGCGTGGTTATCGTGTAAACACAACATAGTCAATAACTCAATTATAGCCATGTATTTCACATTAAAACATTTACTTTCGCTTTACACTACCAGCAATATTGTTCGCAGTATTTATTTTAAAATGCATGGGAATACATACCTGGGGGTTGATGGCTCTAATAGCTCATTTGTAATAATGTGGTTGATCGTTTAATGGGTATAATCCTAAGAAATACTATCTGACAGTTACTCGCCTCAGCGCGCAGTGCCGATGCACCGAGTACGTCACTCTTATTTCGGGCGCGCTGCCACGAGATTAAAGGAACGGAACACGCATTGACCAATCCTACTACGGCAAAGGCCGGGCTCATGAATATTAATCAGGTAACGTCACAGGATGTTTACCAAATAAGGTCAAATGAATATTTATAAGTGAAGTCTTTTCGATAGTAGGTTTCATAAATTTGCGGACGGAAAGTGCATGAGCATCGCAGGAAGAAATTATTACAGAAATAGAATGTGCTTAAAATGCCGACACACACATTAACACATCTCACACACATCAACGCATCTTTAAACGAAAATATGAGAGAGAAGGTCAAACAGACACCGCAGTGTTTCCTGTCTAACTTAGATCAGACGAAAATGAAACTGTCTGTTCAAACGTGTTTTAATGTTTCCATATGACGAGCACATGACAGATTATAACACTTCACATAAGAGCATGCGTTGGGCACACATTTTGGGGACTTTTCATTATTTTGCATATGATGCCACACACTCTGAGCTGCCTTCAACACGTTTTAAAATAACATGTCAAAATCAAGGGTTTATAAAAGAAAATGGATGGGGATACGAAAATAAATATTGAAAATAAAATATCGTCCAAAAATGTTTTGTACTGTTTAAGACGTGCATTTGTCAATATGCAGCCAACTACTCCATACAGTATCAAACCATACCAAAAACAAAAAAACAAAACAAACAAATATTTTAGAAACTTGAGTTCGACGCTAACAAATAGCCTATCATATATTATTATTATTTTTTTAATAATGTAAAAAAGCAGGTTAAAACAGTACAAATCTGCTTAGGAACTAGTATTCAGAAAAGATAAATTATGAACAATTTAACCAGGAGAAAAATGGTACACAAGTGGAAAAAAGTACACAATTTCACAGTGACTGCTTCTTTGCACAAGAATATACAGTATTACCATATTAATTCTGATGATGCGACATTTTTTTTTTTCAGAATATTTCCCGTGACTGAATATCCGCATATCCAAACATTGTGTAAAGTCAATCTATCCATTAGAATAAAATTACTGGAACAAAAATTCTTTCTTCATTCTTCAAACATAAAAAAA